GGGACCCGTGGTAGCAAGAGAAGAAAAAGGTGGGGTTCACTTTCTGTATTTGTTATTTGCATGCGGATATAGTTTCGCGGGTCGATCCGAGGAACGCGTATATTCGTGGATGCGTGTTGGCATGCAGATCGCTGCCGTTTTATCAATCAGACGGGGAACTCGCTACCCGCGGGCTCGAGGAACGTAGAAAACGCGCATTCATCAAAACAGCGGCGCTAAAACGTGTTCAAAAGCGACGGGGGTCGGAGACTGCCTGGGATCTCGAAAGAAGACATACTGTAAACTTTGAATTATCCAAAGAATTTCTATGACGAATGACTACAGTGATCATATTTTTTTTAGAAAATAAAAAGATCAACTTTGTTTCATTAAAATTGAATAACTTCATAACTGCATTTGAAATGTGATAGCAATTTCAATCATTATGACAAATTCTCATACTGCAGCAATTTTTAATTAATCTATGTAACAATTATAAATGGACAGCAGATGAAAAGTTGAAGCAACTTGTTTATGTATCACTTTTATATACTGTACTTTGGTTAGTGAATGATCAGGCGCACAGATGCTCGGCCAGCATCGGCGAAGAAAATCAGTTTCTTTGAACCTGTACGGTTTGCGATGTCGTACGACGACGACGACGTCGCCCGATCGATGTCGCCTTCCTGTAGGGAGGAAGCGATGAAGCCTGATCCTGGTCGAAGGATCGTAAAAATCGCGGGGCATTGCCGGATCGACGAATTCATCGATGAGATCGAGCCGACGAGTCGATGAAGGGACCGGTTAAAGACGGAATGCGGTCTTGCCGCAAGAGAGACTTTGTAACCGATCGGCTCTCTCTCGCAAGCTTGCGCAATGCACCGAAGAACGAGACACAATACCCTCATACACTGCTTACCACCTTTCGACGATCTCTTTTAAAAGAGTGACCACACACCGTGTGATCATCTTGCCGATTGTTAAATGTTCGGACACCTGATTTCTCTACGAATCCGTATTATTTTTGAAAATAAAAATCTTGATCATTCGACGTGAAGGAGCTTAATAGCTCATCATGATTGATGATGTTTGTGTATGAAAATAAGAAGTTCTCAACAAATCTGTCATTTTAGTCTCGCGGAAGGTTAATTCCTGTCACTGGAGAATCCGAGATCGGAAATCAAGCCGTTTGCGCAATCCTCGAAGGCTAAATCTACGTGTAATGTGTGGCAATACGCAGAGGCATGGCCATCGTCCAAGTCATTCTCTCCTTTCTTCTCGGGCGCCTCGTACGGCCCTGGCCACACGTTACGGGCTTCAAACCACAGAGCCTAACGTTCCCATATGTATCATATGTTCTGTCCTACCGTACACCGTCACGCGCACGCACACGCGTGCACGCACGTCGATTCTCACGCACTCGTGCACGCACTTAAGTCTTTTGCACAAAAAAAAACCACCGCAATTTCATTTTCAGAAGCATAAACTTCGAGAACTATTTGGAAAAACCAAATGAAAAGCGCGATGCTCTATACGTACAATTACTATGGAAAGTATTCTCATCATTGAGCCAGTTATTTATATCCCATCTTTATCTATGTAGAGTAATTGTTTCGTAAAGAACAATGTAGAGGATGTAAGCATATACATACAAAGGGGATACAGGAAACCGAGTCGCGGACATACTTTAACTGCTACAGAACAAACTGCGGTCTCTGCGGCGTTCTATTCGTTTACTTCACGTTAATCATGGCGTTTTATGGTAATTCAATACCGTGTTTCCCGCGCGTCCTCCCTTCCTGGGATTAGTTCACAGTCTTTCGTTCTGCAATCGATCCTTTAGATACGATTCCCGGTGCGAACGCCGCGGATCGTGCACGGCTGTAACCCGATCGATCGATCGATCGATCGACGGATCGATCGTAGCTGCCCCCGGGCAAACTCGTGGCTCGTCGATCAAGCCTTGTCCCCGTGTAAGGAGAGACGATTTGTTCGTTAATAATCCTCCGTCGTTAGTGCTTAATTAATGCCTCTCGTAATTAGCCTCTCTAGGAGAAGGTAATCTGTCGTTTCTTCTTTTTATTTAATAATCGCGCCTCTGCAACGATTAAGCAACCGGTTCCACTCTTTCCGCTCTTCGAGTTTAACGTGTCTTTGATCTCGGCTCATTGCCTGTTTACCGATACCATGATTTACGCTCGCTTGCGCCGCCATAAATCTTACCTTTCTCTCACCGTGCAGTATCGAACGAATTTTTTCAATGCGCATATCGACGTTACCTTTAATTTTAATCGCGTGTTACACAACGCCCCTTAAACTGCACAAGGATAGGAGCATTAAGAGCGCGATCCATTACGAGTAATCACTCCTGACAGTATCGCGGCGGACAAAAGTCATTGCTCCTCGAAGGACTGACCGAAGAGGTTTTCTCGAATATTTTTCGACACATAATACTCTGGGCGGTTAGCTCCGTGCTCGCTCCATCGACTTCGATCAAATCGTACGAGTCGGACAGAGAGAATGAGAAGTCTCGAGGGACTCGATAATAAGCTTAGACATCATCTCCTCCGGAGGAAAGGAGAAAAAGAAATTTTGCGGTCGCATTAAAATGATGTATTTCGATTTTACAATTAAACTTGAAAATGTCAAGAGTGTTGGTTTTCGATATGTTTAAAGGATCGATTGGTTATTTGGGAATAAAACGCGAAGGTAACCAATACCGGGAGAGAGGAGAAGAAGAAGAAGAAGAGAGAAGGAGGAAGCGAATATTTTTGTGGTAGCGCAAAGTTAAGGCCGTGGCCGCAGAGCAAACGTCGGTCGGCCGCAATCTTCGGTCAATTTCCGAGCAAGAGGCAAGCAATCTTACTGTGCAAACAAAAAGGTGGCCACCGTGGGGTTATCTTTCGGAAAAGAAAACGGGATGAAGCGAGACGGGGAGAGCACGCTGATCGACCCTTTGTCGGTGGACCCTTCGTTTCAGTGGCAATCGCATCGATAATTTCACTTCGTTTCTCGACTACCGTACACTCCTTGTAAATGCAATCCTAGGTACGTATCTCTTCCTCGTCCGATTTTTTCACGACTTCCGAATCATTGCTTCGAGGAATTTTCATTCGTTCCAATCACCAGAGGTAATGCAGGTATAGCGTTTTTGCCGTGAGAACGCGGATACAATGATATCGCACATCGATGAAAAGAGTTTACACGTTTTCTCGAAAATTATCCGTCCGTGGAGTCGACAGGATAATCGCGTGAACAGCGTACCAGGAAGAAAACATAGAAGATGTTTGACGTAGGTAAATTAGCGGAACTTCCACGCGGCAATCAGTTTTCCATCACGACTCAATTACCGGCCGATCTAATTAATGTCTCGGGATTTTTCTTATCGAAAACGGATGATTCTGTGAGAGTCTAGGGTTAAGACATCGGTCGATCGATCTTTCCGTGCGCCGGTGAAAACAAATGAGCTCCGGACAGCCGAGGTTCGAAGCGGCCCTTTTGAGGCCCTTTGATGCCCGGCAGCTCTTGGGTCAGGCTACACGCCATTCACGGTAGCCGTTCGGTCTCCTCTGACCTCGACACTTTTCTTATTTTTCTTTCACTCTTTTTTACTTTATCCCGCCCGTTCCCTACTGGAACACCGTAATGAACCTAGCGGAATGGACAATGGTCCTGCTACGTCCGAGGCGTGATGCCTCGCCACCAGAAGGGTTAATAACGATCCTTCGCGATCATTAGTAATTACCCTTCCGCGCCAGAATCTCGCCGAATTTTCGCCTACTTTATTTCTTTTCCACTGGTACTCCAATAATTAATTTTCACCCGTGTTGCTTGAAATAATTATCAAATTGCCCCCTTTAAGTAATTTCATTGCTCGTTATTGTATCAAGTGGTTCGTACGTGGAATTTTTGTAATTCATATATGCGCGAGTTGTAAGGGAAAAGAACGGCGAAGGAACAATTTGTGGTGCAATTAACATCACGAAGATTCATTAAGTGGGGCTTTTAAAAAGCTGCAAAGCGGTGCAATTAAAATGGCGATCGCGGCGTAAACAAAAGGTAGAAGCAAATTGCAACAATGGCCCCTGCCCCAGAGCCCATTGTCGATGTAATATTGATTAATTACAATGTCGAGAGAGTGGCGGGTTGTCGGGCAGACAGACACCTTCGGCGATCGTCCGCAATCATCAAGGCTTCCATTAACAACAAAGGACCGTACCATATGTGTACGCGGTGGTCTTTGCCGCAAACTTTACGGCTCTAAATAAGAACGTGACCTTACATTATTCAGAAAGAAAAATCGCGAAAGCGAAACATCCGTAGAACTATTATGAATACAAATCATATTTTCCGTGTAACGAGATTTCGAGTTTTCAAACAGATGTAAAAAGTCACGATGAAAAAGAAAATACCGATAATGATAATAGGGACTGTACGACCCTCCGGCTTCCCGTTGTTAAGGCTACTCGCTACTCAGCCTTAAATCCCTTTTAAAGGGACAATAGAAAAGTTATTGGCGATGCTACAATAGCCGAGGGTGCCTGTAATTAATAGCTCTCCCGACAACTGACAGTTCAACCTATTTCATTCTTACATGAAATTGTTTCTTTCATGGACATAGCTTTGGCTAGCAAGTAAAATAAATGCCAGCATCGTAAATGTATCTTTCAAATCTATAGTACGTAATTGGTTAGCAGGCAATTTTCTTATAAGACAATGTACTAAACATGTGCACACCTTGTCTCTCTATTACTGCCTCGTTCCAACGACGAGCGCGCAGCATGTGTAAAAGTGAGCAGTGTAGACTGTGCGAGCGAGATCACAACAGAAAGACAAAAAGAAGAAACGTAGATAAGACTCAAGTCTCGCGTGGAGCGAGCACTTCCGAGAATTGATGGCGATGACTCGCGGCCATATATCCGGAGACTACTGTACTCAGAATCGGAAGGTGGAAAGGCCTTTCTGATCTAACAACCTCCACCTTCCTCGATCTGAAGGATAATTAATTAAGTTTGACTTACCGCATGAATTACAGGGGCTCGAAGTCAATTAATTAATTGTAACTTGGTCCACCCTCGAAGCCTGCTCTAAGGGGATTTTGTCACCTTTTAAAAGCTGTTACGGAGACTCCAGACTTTCAGGAATATAATGAATATCCTTTCAACGGTTCTTCGATCCTACAATCAATTTATACACTGTCAGAGGCTTTCATAAATAACCGTGAAAATGAAAGTGCTCGTTCTTTTGGTTTAATAAAAAAGAAATGTTGCGAATAGAGTAAACCGGCCCAAAAGGATACGAAGACTGATAGGAAGGGGTAGTTAGGAATAAAAGAAACCCGACAAGAGTAATGTCTGGGGAAGCAGTTAAATTCGCTGCATGTGTGCCCTCAAGAGATTTCTACTCATCCCTATCCACCCTTTGTCTACGCGTTAGGTAAGCTTTTGTTTCGGTTATACGACCGAGGATATACCCCGGCCAATAAAACGAAAAACGGGCCACCTTCACAATGCCCCGTATTTGCATAATTTCGCGTAATCTCTACCATTTTCGCTCTTCGCGGATCTCCTCGCTCTTCTCCTACCAAGGAGCGTCGGTCAGATTAATTTACGACTTTTCCCTGACCGTAGATATCTACGTATCTCAAGATTTAACGCCATTTTACATGTATAAGCAAACGATTCGTAAAAAGTTCATGGTTTCTGCGCGTGTACGATTCGCAAAACTGATAAATCTGTAGAAATAACAATAGAAGTAGTAGCAGGCATTTGAAAATTATGTACCTTATCGAATGTCTTCTGTTCGAACGACAGTTCCAGGTTATTGGCAGCGAAGTAGCGTGGGGTATGTTTCTTAGCCAGGCAACGAGCAATAATGGGGAACGGAACTGGTCGGCGAGATGAATTCGAATGATTAAGAACGATTGGATTGTAGGTGCTCGGTTCAATTATGAGCAAGGCACGCCATTCCCTCGTTATACCGCGCTACTCTCGGATACAACGACCGAAGACACCAGCGTCGACGCAGAGGCGCAAACTTTTAATACGTGTGAACGCTCCTTTATTAGTAGCGTGACCAATGAGCGCTGACGCTATTAATCAAACGTCTAACATCGTTCTGTGTGTGTGCACTCACACGGCCCGACGACCGGTGTGCGAACCATTTCTTCTTATTCATTGCTACGCACCCTCTCGGAACTCGCGTTCACTATCTCGTGGACCGATTTTTAGGCATACGTCATCGATCTATTGTTTTGACAATCGCTGAACGCGGAAAAGTAACCATAAACGTGACGCGACGATTTCTTTTTGCTTTACCGCTCGTTTAATCCAGATACGTATCTTTCGTACGAATTAATTATGGAAACGCTTCCGGCGCAGTGAAAGCGGAAGTGGCGTGTAAAAGAAAGCCTAATCAGTGCAACGTGCGAGTACGAACAATTGCGCGAATAATTCTTTTTCGTCGGGTATCTACATCGCGAGTCTCCCTTCTCTTTTTAATTAGAATGATTTACGGTGTTCAATTACGATAAACATCTACTGTATACCGTGATTAGTTCAGCGAAGTGTTCGGTAACACGAATCTTTCATGAAATTTTATTCGTGCCATTTTGTTCGATTATAATTGATAGCGCGACGAAATTTCTCGGATTGGATCGTTCCAATAAGGGAAGACGTGTACTTGCTCACGCGTGTAGGTAACGAGGTTATATTCACGTCGATCGAGTGCAAATATTCAAATGCAATCTGGCAGTGCCGGTGACGAGTAACGGTCGAGGAAACCTTAGGTGATCCGGGGCGATCGAATTTCGAAATCGACACGACTCCATGGTATAATGGCCACGCAGTTACAGGTGTGTCCAATCGCGATCGTTTCACTTTTTTGTTGGTCGCGTCTCGAGGGTACAACGAACCGTGTACCTCGAATTAAGCCTCCGGCGGAAGTTGAACCGGCCTGACCGAAACCTCTTCCTCCACTAATATTCATTACCAGTTTTGTATCATAGAATTTTTTGCGACAGCTGATACCGAATAGTTTTAATAATGTTATTAAACTTGTTAAATGAACAAGACAAACGTTCGATGGAGTAAGATTGGTAAGGTTTTGGACGTGTGCAAGTGGTAGTGTTTGCGTGTTTCGCGAAGCAACAAAGAGAAGTCACGTAAGGATCAAGGAGGGATATGAGAATACCTTTTAACGACGAGTGTAGGAAGCGGAAAATTCAACGCCACTTTACGCACGCCGAGATCCGCGGCCAAGATTACGCGGTAAGTCGTAACCATCTGACTTTTTTGACAACGATATTTTATAAATATTGCGACTGCACTTTTCGCATGACGAGTTCAGGCGAAATTAAGATGCACAGGTGCGTGTTATTTCTTTGTTTCAATAATAATTGGAACGTGAAAGGAGGGTTCTCGTGGCGCATTTTAAATGCATTACATGCACAGGAAGGGCGAGTATCTCGTAATCCACTTATCGTGTCGCTTTCACGATGTCGATGTACCGAATCAACGAAGATATTCGAAACCTCGCGTGTTGGTAATATCGAGGATCCGGGATGTGTAAAAGTGAAGCAATTAAGGACTGGCGAGGTAATCGGGAGCCTTTACCGTAATTTTCTCATTTCTGAAATCTCTACCGCGTAATTATTCGAGGAACATAAATACTCGCGATTCCCGTGAAACGCTTGACGCTTTCAATAAATTCGCAATAAGTCTGATTGAGGGGAGGGAGAGAAGCAAATTTATTAGACTTATCGATGTTTATGAGAGAAAACATGCTCGAAAAGTTCCACGGGATAGAATCTTGAATGCCATCCCGAACAGGCACTTTCTTCAAAGAATAATTTAACAAGTGGAAGCACCAAGTTTTTCTGCTTTTTCTTCGCTTCGTTCCGTTAGCCGACTGTCCGATTTTCCTTCTTTCGAACGTGCCCAGCGAAGGGTCGGGAGAAAAGCCGTGGAGAGGAATACAGTAGTTGTTTAAAAGAGGTTCAAAGCGACTGGCGAACAAATTACCGGGAAGTTTACCAATCCCGCACACTTCTATGCTCCTCCTATCTCCTCGTTTTTTCCGGCTCACCCTTTCCCCGCCGCCATCGTCGCGTTCATCTTTTTTATATATTAATCCCACAGCAACGACGCGACGCGCTGATAATCTTGGAAAGGGCTGTTTTAAATTGGCTCCTTTGACGCGATACGCCGCGCGATGAGTTTCATATCGGAATAATTTTCGAGCATCCTTCCCCACGCTCCCCCCTTCCCTTATCCACCTTTTTTCAAACCACCGTTTTTATCCGACGCCATTATCGATTCGCTAAACGTCACACCGTTCCATTCCATCAGAATCGACGTTACCGAATTCTGCCAGCAATTCCTTTCATCCCAAGTAAAAGAGAACGGAGAGGGTATTTTCGTGAAATTTTTTTTAAATTACTCTCCGGGCGGGAGGGGGGCAGCGATTTGTCATTGTTCATCAGGCCGTGCATCGTTTGCGAGACATTAATCACCGGCGGGAAGGGATTGCAAAGTTATAAGCGCAACGTCGATGCCACGGCGCGTTCCGTGAAACAAAAGGAGTAGCTGCCGGTATGATAAATCCACCGGTAGCCAATTAAGTCCCGGGAGTGTCGTTAAACTAGTACTCGTTAACGCTAAAATGTCCTGAACGAGTGGGTAGGATGGCCCCGAACGAGGAAACGGACGTGAAAAACGACAATTAGCGTGCGCTGCGAGCGTTATCGCGTCAGGAAGCCGCGAGTCGCGACGAAATAGTTACATAAAAATTTCGCAAAATCCACGTTTGCGACAGCCGCAGTTTCCACCGACTATTGTGCAAAATGTTTTATAAAAATATTGCCAACTACCGGCTCTTCTATCCGTTGTTTACATTCGCGTATCAGCTCTCTTCAACTTGCAACGTTTTGTAGATTCCTATTGTTCATATCAATCTGTTTGCTCCTTCCTTTCTCAGTACCTCGTAAGGACGTTCGCGGGGAGCAGTCGTGCTCAACTTCAAATGAATCGACGATCAAAAACTGAATTTTTACGCGAACATCCTCGACACTAATGAGAATATTTTTGTAACAAATGGTAATGGTCTATAAACGCAGTTGAATGCGATCGTATAGAACTTAGAGCATGTGTTTCGAGGATTATTATTATTATTATTATTCAGAGCGTAACTAGGACAATTGGAAACGAGGAAACGGACGTGAAAAACGACAATTACCGCGCAATGTAACGCATCAGGAAGCTGTCGAGATACGTGCAGTAATGAAATTATTACATAAAACCACTCGGACCGTGTTACTCGCGATGAAACCACGCCGCCGCGGTACACATTCGTGTTCATTTTCCTATACTATACTCTCTCCCGGATGGTTTTTATTTCTCCACTCCTAATTGATCCATATAATTAGCGATCGCTATCGCAAAAAGTCGACGCTGTAAAACGAAGGGAAGATCGGTATAAAGCGCGCGTTACGATTTCAATTCGGTCGCGTTAACGCGAAACGGGAAGAAGCTGTTCCAGGAAACGGTAACTTATAATTTTCTGAGATCTTGATCGCGAAATTAAGGCCATCGTTACGCGGAGTCTACCGTGGCGGACATAAATACCGAAGATCGCTCGGTCTAATCAGCGCATTGTGCGCCGTGTACAAGAGTCGTGTTTTTAACGCCACCGTCGCGTTAAGGCTTCTTAATTCGCGCCTAAACAGTCGTCGGCGAGAAAAGAAAGTCGCCTTAACGACGCGTTTCTTCTAAAGGCGGATATTTAAAATCCTAGGAAATGAAATCGCGTTTGAGAACCGGGAAGATGGTAAAATAAAGTAATTGTTGCTATTACCGGCGATCGTTCGTGTTGGTAGATCGCAGGTGTAAGTATACATTATGTATAACACCGCGAATGTGGGTGTGCGCGTCTCTCTTTTTCTGCGCTCTTCGAAAGGCTTGTGAGAACCCGGGCAATTACGCGGGTTCACTCGCCACGGAGTATCTGGCTTGTTCAGAGCGAATTAATTTAGATGTCTTAATTGCCATCGGTTAATTGTCGCGGCGGGTCTTCTTCAAAGACACCCGGAATTCGCTGGATAGTAGGATTGCTTTCACCTGCAACCTCCGATGTTTCTTATTTACATTTCTCGATTACACGCTCTCAAAACGTTTTACAAAATACTCGTGAAAGAATCGTATACGTTTATTCATGGTTGGCGTAATTATTTTAATTAAAAGTTAACGGAACACCTCCGTTAGGTTGGGGTTAAGAGAGGATCGATTAAGATTGCTTACGTGAAATTTATAAATTCCTCGGTCGTTAACGGGCCGAGGAAATGATAAAACGAAACTTGTACGCGTCGGCGATTACAAACGCGCATTATTCTCGCTTTCCTCCTGGGAAAGTTAAGGCATCGAGCGTGTTAATTATAATGAACGTTAAGTAACCGGTGTGCGTATGTGGCCGCTATTATCGTTTGTACCGAGGCAACAAAATCGCGCAGTCCTGCATCGGGGAAAGCAGTTTACAGCTTGTTACTTATCGCGATGGAGCGCGCTAATGCGGTAATGCACGAGAAATCCTATCGACCGGCAAATCTACCGCGGATCCAACGCAACGATCTTCGAGACTGGAACCTCGTAATATATTTTTCGCAATTCTTCACGTTTAACAATCTTTTTTCCATTGAAATCATTTCTATAGCCCGCGGACCGTGAAATACGATATCGCAACGATAAATTATTATATTCGTCCTCGCTTATCGTATCCTGTATCAGCTCAAAGAATTTGTTTAATCGTTCTGCAACTTCGATCGGGACGCGGAGAGCGGAAACTCGTTGGCGAATCGCGGCACAGTTTAACCTAACGATTCGGCTACACGTTGCGATATCTCTGATATCGCACGAGGAAACAACGAGGCGATTGCACGCTTACCTATGGCTCCTTCGCATGACATGCCAATAGAACGTTTCCACGGGATATGCGCAGCCTGTAAAATGCTAATTGCTCGGATTTCAACGCATTTTTCAACGGGTTTCTCTTGCGGTAACTTAATTCTGTTTACTGATGATAAATCATGTTACGCGTACTTACGAAAGCAGTTTCAGCAATACTTATTATTCTTGATATTCATCGCAATGTTCAATTCCCAAAATCATTAACGCAAGCATGTAGCATTATTAAAAAAAGAAAGCATAAAATTGATTTCTGTAAAAATTGGTACAAGCAGATCGTTGAACCCGTGTCCAATGATCATTCTCTTGTAATATATTATTCTTAATTCTGAGCGTGAAATGAAACCGAGTTTTCGTCGACGAGTAGAGCCGCGGTCGCGTGAAGCACCTGCGGCAATTGGAAGGCAGACGATTATGCGACACGCACAATCTCGAAGCGGGCAACCGAGTGGCTTAATTAAAATCAAGATTGCGCGAAACGAATTCTGTTTGCAATTTGTATACGCAATCAAAACTATCGATGGGTCGATCTTACGTTCATGATGAATCGATCACCGGCTCAATGCATAAAATTGAAAGGCTGTGCAGGGTTTTTGGTCAAGTACATATGTATTAATAACTGAATGAGGAACGAATATATTTTTAAAAAGTTTGCCTTTGTAAACTTTTCTTTGGGTCTAGAAAATGCGAAATGTGTATTTTTAAAATCACTTTTCTCAAGCGAATCCACAGTTTTTAACCAGAGAAATCTTAATATTAATATTCGTATGACTTTCATAAGAAAATTACACATATTTTCATAGATTCTTTTCTGTAATTCGAAAAGAACTACCTTAAGGGTTCAGTGCTCGATGCACTGATGAAAAACATTTTGCCAGGGGTAGTAATGAACGAAACCGAATCGAAAAAATCGTTAACTGGCCGGAAATCGGTAATCGGCCGGAATAATCGGTTCCTTTTATGTCTGCTTACGTTTTTTGGAGCCGAAATTAGTCGCGGACACGCATTTTTCTAAGTAAAAAGCGAGACACGAGGGTGGATGCGCGGTTGGTCCCAGGCGCGACTCCCTTTCTTCTCGCTCGGTTTTTTCCCCCGGTCCTCTCCTTCTTTATATTAAGCGGACTCAAGCTGCGCATATCCTCCGGTAATGAGAATTACACCCTTTCTTCGGCATTCCTTTTTATTCGCGCGCGGCAATCTACGATTACTTGTTCATCCACGAAACTCCATTCGATGAACGAACGGGATATCCTAATCGTACGGTTCATTACGAAGCGTGTGCACGCTCGCGATGACTATGACTGATGCTAAGCCACGACGAATTGCGATGCGCATTACGAATAAATATCGCACTCTTTGCCCCGTCTCTCGTCTAATGTGCCCGCTTCGCAGATTGCCACTTGGGTGGGTTTCGAAAATGCATCGACTCGAGGGACATTACGTTTAATTAAATTTCACCGTGTCATGCGGCGCTTACCGTTCCGCCGACGACGATGCGACGATGAAAAAGAGTCTGTTCGGCACGCGGGTAATTGTTTCAAGGCAAATGAATCCGCTCGCCGACTCCCGGACACGAGAATCGATTTGCCGGAGACCATCTGGCTGATTTTTCGAAAAATATGCGGTCAGGTTAATTCGAATTTATACGCGCTCGATGATTGTTCCCCATCACGGTTAAATCGAATCGAATTTGCATGAAGACGGATATTTATAGTATTCCGGGATGGCTGTCCCGTTTAACGGTGAAAGCAGCGTTTTAGTAAAAAGAATTTCATATCTCGGCGTCGTTAATCGAATATTTTGACCGATTAAAACTCGTGGCGGCAAGAAAATCGTAATACCGTACGACGTTGCGAGAGAAGCGATTCAACCGATTCCGGCCTCGCCATCTATCTTCCGGCGCGCTGGTAGCGAAGAAAGAAGGCATAATTAAATTAAATTAAGCCCGGCTGAGCTCTCTCCACCCTCTTCCCCACCTCGTCGATGCCTGCCCCCCCTCTACCAACAGCGATAGTCGACGCCGCCTTTATTTGCAAGCAATTTGCGCTCGCGGATCGTGCTGCAAAAAATCTGAAAATAATGCTGCCGTATTAATCATATCCCTCCGCCCTTATTCCTCTCGTTCGCTTCTGTCTCCCCATCGTACCGACATACTTACGCCTCGTATATTTACGGGCAAAAAAGGTGCGCATCCGCGCATGCAATGGAATTCAGTGCACTGTTTAATATGCACTGTCCGATGGTAATTGTAGGAAAGAAGTTTCAACAAAATTTTTTAATCACTGTATTCGATTTTGCTCGAACGTTTGTTTTTTAATAGGTCTCAATTTATGATAGGACGCGGATAACGTATCGGAAGTTTTATACATAGAAGATCGATTCCTGGTGAGAGATGCAATAAAACTCCGTGATGTCGAAGTAAAGAGCTTCAATGGACTTAGGAGAATGTGAATAACCTGATTCTACGGTTAACCGTACGCTTAAGAGAAGGGGATAGTATTTACATGAGAGGTGGGAATCACGATAACGGAAATCGCATTCTGTTTAGTAGTAGCCGAAGTGTTAATGCAAAGCTCAGGATTTCTTTGGCTTCTTCGCCGGCTGGAGGCCGCTGTCGTACTCGGACGTGTTAAGCATCCTGACTCTCTTCAGCAACCCCGTCCTCGACTCGTCCCGACGCTTCTGACTCTTCTTCTGGCTCGGTTCCCCGTCGGGCCTGGAAACACAGAAACGCTCCTTAATCGTCGCATTAGGGCTAACCCGCAATTTTCGGTAATTCGACGTAAACGACATGTGGCGAGGACAGAGCGAGGTAATCGAAAATCAACAAAAAAGCCGGCTCGCATTAACGGAACCGGGAACATACACCCCCCTGCCTGGCCCGGTACGAGAATTTCGGGCCCAACTGCCGTGCCGAATTTCACGTTCCTCGCTACGTTTTTCCCGGCCGATCCGTTTTATTCGCCTAATCTGTGACCGCGCAGCACGACAAGAGAGTAATCAACCGGACAGACGCAAAAAACTCAGCCGTTCCACGAATTCGCTCGGAAAGAATCTTTTCTGAAAAATCCGGCGCGTTCCAAAAGTCCTTTTATCCAGGAAAGATAGAGCGCATTTGCGTGGCGTAAACTTTGTAGAATTACACACAGGGACAGGCGTAATCGCACCCACAGAGGCGTACACCGTGGGTCTCTCGATCCATTGGACCGTAGGCTGGGTGCCCGCCTTTCACCCATTAAAACAGACCTCTCTCTCTCTTTTTCTCTTTCTCTCTCCACGGGTGGAGGGCACCCGTCGGTTACCCGTTGTGTGCATCGAAAGCACGCCCATTCAAATCGCATTAAACGAGTTAACGCTTAATGTCGGCCCGTGCGAATCGTCGATACTCGAGAGACAGATAATTAGCTTCACAGTTCTTCGGTTCATGAGTGATCAGAAGCAATCAATTTTATACAATTTTTAACAAAATTGAATATGCCGCAAGATATCAAAGCGAACGCATATTGCAATGGTTAAATGATAAAAGAAATGGTTTCACGAAAGAGTAATTTAGAGAGCTGTGTCAACGTCTGATAGGAGACAAAGACCGGGTGCTGACATTCTGGTCGGCCAAGCAAACGGGAAAAACAGATATCTCGTCGAGATGAGAGGACCAAAACAGCTAAAACGCATGAGCGTAAAAAAATAGCGTGCGATGAACAGAAAATCAGGGTGACGGTGCGTTAGAGAGAGATTTCCATTAACCTCGAGGGGGAGAGAGAGAGGAAGAAGGGAGGTAGAGAGAGCAGGGAGGCTCGTGCTCGTCCGTGGTTTCCGTAAATGCCGCAGCCGGGGCCGGATGTAGCGGTCGCATCAGTCTGTTTAATAGCCGTATTGTATAATTATGAACAATGGAGAGACAGAGCGAGAGCGTAAAATCAGAGAGAGAACGAGAGAAGCCTGGAGAAGGGCAGAAGCCAGCCGAATGCCATGCGAAATGCATACCCCGGAGAGATAGACGGAGACGCGGTCGGCGAGAACGAGAGCCGAGAGAGAAACGAAGGGGAACCGAGGGAGACAACGAGGATGAGCACGACGAGAGCCGTATGGGTTATAGCTGCCAGCCACCGTACACCGTGTCCGCCCGTTCGTCGTACATGACGAATGACACACAGCGACGCTTTTGACGTATCTAAGCTCTCCAGGAACCGCGAGCTGTCTACTGTCTGTTAACGCACGTGGTTGCGTTTGTTAGTTATCGAGTAACTAGAGAGACAGAGAGAAAGAAAGAAAGACGGAGAGAGAGAGGAAGGGAGGAAGGGAGATCGCGGGCTGCTGAGCCACGCGTGAATCCGTCATTAATACTGAGTGCTGAGGATTGTCTACTTCGAATAGGATCACGTCTTGCCTTTGAAATTGAGCTTGATTCATGCAAAGTGTCGATATACTTACTTCTCATTGGTGAGCCTGTTGTTGTGCTCTTGCCTCGTGCTGTCTTTTCGATGAATCTTCGTTCCTATTCCACCGATTCGCTGCGGAGTTTCCCTTAACGCGAAACTCTTGGCGTAATGACCCAGATGGGCAGTCCTCCGATTGAAAATCTCTCGCATGTCGCGAGGATAGCTCGAGTAAAAACGTATCCACGAGCTGTACGCTGAAAGAAAAACATTGAAGAGATCCGATTACGTTTGGGCAAGCTGTAACTAACGACGTAACGACGAACCATGGTGGTCTCGAGGACCGTTGAGAAAAGCTCTAGAAAATGCTGTGGTCCCCGCCTACGTGTAAATGAGGCCACGTGCTAACTCGAATATAATCGTTGGGCGTTGCGACGCTCTTATTAATCGTGGTTCCATTAAGTTTCACGGAGGTTCTCTATGGGGTGGTGAGCTATTAAGAGGCATTAACGGGGGTCGAGTCAAGTGCTGTGGCTAATAGTCCACCCCCCGTTATCCCCTCTTAAGCTCCTCCAGCTCCCGTGCGCGCTGCGGGTGAGAAACTCGGGGGTTCGCCGGTCCTGAGAGAACTTGACATGTGCCACTGTTACTGTCACTCCGTGCGAAAAATCTACCCCGAAGTACCTCTGCCCTTTTGACGGATCGAGACTCTTCTCCCTTCGCTTCACTTCAAAGTTACAATTATTGATGTCAAAAGAATTTTTTGCGAATGACGAATTTGTCGAATATTTGCAAAATACCAGATTGAAAAGCGTACATAATTTATGTACAAGCTTTTAAGTTATTAATGAGAAAATAAACGATTTGAACGGATGTCTGCTATGAAAGCGAAACGTCTATGTATAATTTCGATAATTCACGTCACGCAGCTTATGTCTCGACATTTTCCGGCTTGATTTCCGTCTGGCTTCCATCCCGGCTCGACGCTTCCGCACATAAGAAACTTGTGAAAATCTTTCTTTCGACGGCCCCGGCGTTGAAAAGGGAGAAATGTTTTTCTCCATTTAGCGCATAAATCACCCGCGGGGGTGGTATCTAACTCGTGGAATCGCGGCGCAGGGGCGAGGTGGCCGCGAGGGGTGGCATTGTTCCTAAGTGATGTAACTGCGTCTTATTGTATTTGTATCCTGTATCGCATTGTTAAGAGTCTCTCGCCACAAAGCGTAAGTGGTTCTGGCGGAAGCCACATTCAGTGGTTGGATCGTGTCGGCCACCCCCATGCGAAACGCGTACCAACCACTCTACAGTCGATTCGATCTAACTTTATTCGTCCGACCATACCACTGATTCTCCCATGAGAAATATATTTAGACCAGAAGTTACTCATTCATTTTTCAAAGTTCAATTTATTATTCAAACGAAACATATTTTTTCTTTTGTATGCATAGTTTGAGTTTAATTTCGCGAGAATATAAATGCATAGCAGTGTGTATATTTTTTCTGTGGAATTAGAAGTTTAATGGTCTGTGATATAAAATGTAAAGATTTGAGAAGATTTACGAAAATTATCAAAGAAAAGGTATATCTGAGTGGAGTAAAGAGGCGCACATACATGTATGGGGATGGAGTAGATGAATCTCTTTGGTTAGTGGTAGGGGTCGCATGCCAGGGGGTCGTACTGTGGAGTTGTATTCACTATTAAGGGCTGTTCGGCTCTATTGGGGTGATAATGTTACGAATTAGCGAGATTTCCACTTCTGCGCACCCTGCTGACCCTCCTTTGGTCACGAATTAAACCCAGAGGGTAGAAGAGAAGAGAATATGTGGCTACACAATATATCTTTATTTTTGTGAAACGAAAGAAACGGAATTAAAATTATTTTTGTTTCTTTTTCTGTTTTGTGGTAATATTGCAGCTTTATGGAGAAACTCGATTCGTAGACAATTAATCTATCAATCACTCGGGACACGTAGAGGCACGGTCAAGTGGTTAACTGTGTACCGTCACTCAAATCTGGAGCCGGCTAAGCGCTCAAAAACCGTGGCTAACCTTCGTGTAAAGCCACGCTTGACGTGACACAACTGCGAACTCAAAAACTTCTTTAAAAGATTTATGGCTGTTATTTTTCGTTTTAGAATCGATCACCCCCGTAGTATCGAACACCAATCAGCCGTATCTTTTATATACTATTATTTATTAACATAAAGTGGGGTCGCGAGGGTGAAAATTCCCTCGAATCATCGCCTCGTAATGGATTTATTATTGCCGGCGTATAAATTCCATGGGCTAACGACCCTACTAGAAGAAGCATAGCGTCGCAAACAAGATCATCCAGAGAGTATGTAAATATCCGAGTGGCAAACGAAAACCGAGACAGAGAGAGCGAAGGCTTCTGGCCGCGCGAGGGTTGCTTTATATGCGAGTGGGGTGCCCCGCTGGAATTGGCTTAGCCTACCCCGAAGTCAGCTCGCTTTCGTTCCGATCCAACTGAATCGAAGTGCGTGCTCTCCCTCTCATACTTCGCTAAATTTCATGAGCACTTTGTGTCTCACAGAGCCCGGAATCGCGTTAAGCGTGAAACCGTAAAGTCGGTTCAACCCCTCCATCGCTCTTTACCATATACATACATCACCGTTCATAAAGACTCATTTCGAATTACTCATTGTTTATTATAAAATCAGATAAACATCCCATCGGAGATAATCTCCATTGAAAGATTACATTAAATCGAAATGTATTATTGACAATGTGTATAAAAAGATATACACGTATACGCGACTCACCTTTGCACGCCTTTTCACGGAGCTTCGAGTCTTCTATCAACATATTCTCAAACTCGTTCTGGAGAGCGATTGCGGCACCGTGGGCCGAAGAGTGCTTCGACAGAGGTCCCAACAGTTTGTCCAACACGTCGTCCATGCTCTCCTGCCTGATTCGTATGCGCCTGGATTCAAGCATCCGCACGAACTCGATTTCCGGCGGTGTTAGGAAGATCGTGGCCGAACCGGAAGAACCGGCTCGCGCGGTCCTGCCGATTCGGTGAACGTAATCCCTGGCTGAAGTAGGTCCGGTGTACTGAATCACGCAGTCCACTTTCGGCAAATCGAGTCCTCGGGCCGCGACATCCTAATTGAATATCAAATGCAGATTTTCATACAAAGTTATGCATTAAGAAAATGATTTGTATTAGGTTCTTGATGTTCTATTTTTATTCGCACACATTTACTGCGGATGCACGAAATCCGCAGTGTATTAATTAGCAAACGAGTAATCGAATCAGTAAGTTCTAATGTACTAGAACATCTTGTTCGACAGTAATCCACGAGAGGAGAGCCGAGATTGTGCGATCCGCCGGTACAAATGTCTTACAAACCGCGTCGATTTCTCGTTTTGTACGAAGGTGAATGCAGCGAGCGCCCGCTGCGAGACCCCAACGGCGAACGTTTGAGCACGGCCCTGATTTCCTTGCGTTCGGTTAACCAATGATTTACCGAACGGAGCGCATCGAGAGTTTCTGCTTGACGACCCTGGAGACTAATCCCGGACCACCAGTGGGGGGCGGCGTCGTGGCCCCGAAAATTCTTGCGCGGCACGATACGGATGTGTCTGCCTTCCCCTTTCTTTTTCTATCGTTTTATCGAATTAATTCGACCGGGCAAGGCGCCGAGGTGAAGGAAAACGAGAAAGAAGCTCGCTCTTTGCGGATAAAATATCGTCCGTCGTGCCAATGTTTTATCATTCGTGCCACGGCGATATTCAATACGTAATTTCTTCTATAGAGGAAACCAGAGGAAAATGGACCAATGTTGTTACATATTTTCCTGATTTAAGAAAACGTATTTTAAATAAGCACTGCAATATTCTGATATAATTTTATACATTACAGACATTTGTCTTATAAATGCATAAAATCCGCAATCTAAATATTATATTGCGTTTCCTTGACAAGAAGTGTTTCGAGACTCGGTGATAATTGATCGACGGTTATGAACAAGTCCGATTAGGGCCCAGGAAAGATGGGCCGATAAAGCGAAATACGCCTACGTATGTGCTTTCGATGGAACAAGCACCGCAGTTGCCACCGGTGCGATATAATGTAACGAAAACAGGGACGCGGAGCGATCGATGGCAGCGATTAAGACAAACGATCGTTTAGGAGCTCGGCCGCGATCACGGGCCGAGCGGATCGAGAACGGATCGTCCGCTCAAAACATCTCACTCGGACCATAGATCACCTCGTGGATCCGGATCCACCACCGCTGAGAGCCCGCGGAACATTCCATCCGCGGGGGCTCTCGTGAGTTTTCAACGTGGAAATTAATAATCCTGCCATAGAATCTCCGTTCAAGTGACGCCGTAAAATGTGGGCGGCTGCCATCGCATGCTCTCTCGTTTCTGTTTTCTGATTGCGCCGCGCCGAAATTCTAACGGTGAACGAGCCGAGTCCGATTTGTCATAAAAATCTTTACAAGTATACGCTTTAAAAAGATTCGTAATTAGCGATTGGCTTGGGTTTCGATAAATGAGAGTCCGAGGCGCGTTTCTACGGTCGCCTGATTGAAAGAAATTAATCTTGCGGCAAATGTGTTACGGCATTGCGTGTCGCGAATCGTGAATTTTGTAATTCTAGAGTTTGACTATGCTTTCCTGTTTTTTTCGTTGAAATTCATAGACGTTAACTGGTAAGCAGGAAGAGATGCACAAAGTAAAACGATGATTAATTTAATTATTATTATTACACACTGGTTCTTTTCGCGATATCATCGGGGATCGATTACTTTCACCTGTAATTACAATGATCAAGCAGTTGTCACGATATAACGGAAAGTCGATCTTGTGAAGTTGATCATCGATGCAAGGTTAATTCGCTCGGTAACGCGAACACGCGATGATAATTAGCGAAAGAAAATTTTGTTTGAAAAATAACGCGCCGGCAATTTGCATCGAATATTACGGAACTGAACCGGCGGGATTCCTTCGTCGCGATAAGTATCATTAACGTTCAGCGTTCGCGCTATTTAAAAGTGGAAAACAATTAAAGAAGGGGCCGGCACATAACGGGCAAACAATCATAATTATACTCGTTACGAGGGCCTCATGTGCGCGCATAATTTTTAACCTCCGGACGCAGCGTGGGTCCAGAGATATTAAATTCTGCCCTGAAAGAATAAGCCGCGGGGTAATTTACTGCTCGGGGAGTGCCGCCGGCTACTCCTAGCTTTTCTTCTCCGCTTCTCTCCTTTTGCTCCGTTTCAGAATAATTTTAACTCTCCCGGAACACCGTTTCGTCGCTTTTCATAAGGCGTCACGCGATTCTTTTCCATGCGCGAAACAATTGAAAATAACACTCACCGTGCAAAGTAGAACTCCGCTCTTCGCCTGCCGGAAAGTTTTGAAAACCTCCGTTCGTTCCTTCTGCGTCATGCTGCCGTGTAGTTTGAAAAATTCTACGTCGACCAGAGGATCGGAATCGTCGTCGTCTTCGTCGACAGGCTTGGTCAACACAGACGATAAGATCTCTGTATGATAGTCGACCATGTCTTGCGTCGCCATGAATATTAATATTTTATGTTGACCGTGTTGACTCTGTCAATAGAAAACTGTTATGAAGGAAATGATCAGAATCGATGTGTTTTCAATGTACCTGGCACTTTCCCGCGATATAAGCGCTCAGAGTCACCATCCTCAATTTCGGTGGCGTGACAATGTAACTTTGATTCACGCTTTGTGGAACGATTAAATCTTCGTTCAATTCGCTGGCGTCGCCGCCGGTAGTTGCCAAATTTTCTTTCGCGGCGTCCACGAAAACAGGATGGGCCATCGCTAGACCTGCTAATTTTTCTACCGCTTGTGTCAACGTCGCCGAAAGTAATATTGTTTGTCTTCGCGATTCGTCGACCTCGCTATTATTATCATCGTCTCTCTGTTTATTATCTCTTCCCGCATTTGGTTTTGTCCCTTCCGGAATTTTACGCTCGTTGAATTTTTTCGATTTCACGTAAGGCTCATCGTTCTCGGAGTCATTGTCGGTAGAATGATACTCTTGTTGAACACTATCTTCTACTGCATCGTTTAAATCTATGCTATCGTTTAACTCGGGATCACCTCCAGCATTTTTTGAATCATTATCGTTTTCTAATTTTTCAACATCCTCATCGGTAAAAACTTTTTTCATATTCTGCCGTAGCATTGTCAGCGCATCGTAGCTTGTCTCTTCACTCGGAATCGAAACTTTCAATGCACTCACTATGCTAAAATTGTATATGTTCTAAATTATATACCTATTCTATAAATCTTCTAGTTAAAAAACGTACCCAGATATATCTTTCTCGTATCCCATATCGAACATTCTGTCTGCCTCGTCCAAAACGAAGTACTTAACATCGTTCAATTTGAGAGCTGCTGTTCTTTTTATATGATCTAACAATCTTCCCGGTGTACCAACCAAAATATTACACCCTTTCCTCAATCTAGCTTTCTCTGCCTTTCTCTTTTCACCACCTGCCAGATACCCTGGCACGATCCACGTAAACGGCTATGTAAAACGATTTAAAAGTTAATCATCTATCGACGGATTACGCAACTTCATTAATTTGATGAAACTCACTTTTATTAATTTTAAGAAACATTCATAAGTTTGTAGCGCCAGTTCCCTAGTTGGTACAATGACAAGAGCCTTCAAACCACTGTTTCTATTCAATTTCGGCCTAATTTTATGCAAACATTCAACTATAGGCAAAGCATACGCTAACGTTTTTCCAGAACCCGTTTGAGACCTAATTAGAACATCTTTACCAGAAAGTATCTGTGGAATAGCTTTTTGCTGAACGATTGTCATTTTAGTTATCGTCATATTTTGCTCCAAATTTGATATCTGATAAAGTGTTTCGCGGTTAATCAATTATGTTAGTACTTCATACGTAACGTGTAGATGTAGGTACTGACCATAAAAGGATGAACATTTAGATCAGAGAATGTTGTCCCTGCAAATATTGGCTCATTTATTGGCTTTACCAATCTCTGACCGATGTTTGGTATTTCTGGATTATTGCCAAATAAAGATGCAATTTTCCCAAATGATTTATAAGATGTACTTTTAATATTTTCGACATAGTCATCATTTCCATTTTTTGATTTCTCTGTCTGTTTTTTCTTTTTCTTATTACCAGATATTTTAGGTTCCTCGTTAAATTCTCGTTTATTTTTTATTTTTGGTACATGTTCCGGTTCGATCTTTTTACACGAATCTAACAAACTAACGTTTTCATCTGCTGATTCTGTCTGCTTTGAAAATATGCTAGAAAGTGTCTTTTTAGAATCTGTAGTGCTTCTCCTTTTAGCTAATAATGTTTTGCCGAAATTCTTATTGCTAATTTTAGTAAACGAAATAGTAGGTTCACTCGAAGCTTCATTAGATGATATATTCTTATCTGTATCAATTTTATCTATTTTACTAGACGTCTTAGCTACCTCCTGCTGCAGTTGTTTTTGTTCAACATTCGTCTGTGGCTTCGCCTTTAATTTCTTGACAGTAAACGATTGATTTTTGTTCGATAGACTTTTCGTCTTTAATTTTTGTGCAACAATTGTTCCTAACGACTTTTGTTTAATTCTTTTTTTAGTATTGATTTCCCTAACAGAATTGCTTTTCAATTTTTTATCGTTACTAGTTTTACTCTTTACTGTGTCATCTTTCTTACTTCTCATCAAACTAAGAATAGAATCATCATCTTTTCCTGTTTTCTATTTAAACAAGAGAAATTCCATTGAGGAAACAATATTGATAAACATTTTCCAACCTCTCACTTACCTTGTTCGCAGCAGGTCCTGCAGAAATATTCAAAGAAATATCCATGTCTTGCACAATCATTTATCACACTCTTTCTTGTAATCCTCACTTCAAACAGAAATACCGTAAGCACTTTTATTCAACAAGAAACGAGGAAAATATTGAGACTCGTAACACTTAACCTACAAGCACATGTCAAACGCACATTTCCAGTCGATATTACTGCGCCTGCGTGAATCAGAGCACGCTGGTTACGAGGCTACGTGCGATTACAAATTCCAGATTAAAAACCCGATGAGCATTTTCTTATTAAGAAACTCCTGTTATCGCTGCCGCATCCATCGGCTATAGATACGCGTTATTTATTAACAAGATGATAATACTTCTCGGAATTGCGTTAATTAAATAAAATTAAATTACTTATCGCAAATCCGTTTGCGATTGATTAACCCATTTGCATCATATGATGGGGCATAAATCTTATAGCAAAAATGGACACAGTACTTCATGTAATGGTGCAATAATTGAAACAACATTTAATATGATGATCGATATGATAATTATTACAAAGTTTTATTTAAAAATTAATATAATGCGTGTATGCATGTGTACGCAAATGATGCAACTGAGCTGGCCATAGATGAAATTCTTGGGGATTTATTAAACAGCGTATGAATCGCAACCGGTAGGATCGAAATCCATCGATCGATGATTTACGCGCGTGTTTACTTGTTAGCGTACGTGTTTACATTTTTTTTACCGAGTGCCGCTCGAGCGCAGTAACGAAAACCACGACCGTTCCTACTCCATCGAGCATTTCGTATTCGTGGTTCATCGTATCAGGACGTTAGCGTTATTCGACATGAAGAGTCTGTGCTGCATAGGACTATCTTTGGCAACTAGAATTATCAGCACCTACTCGATGGTGAGTGAAAGATAATCGTCGCCGAACCGGTTCGCCGGTAAACGCTGTAAAATTATCGTTAGATCTTCTTCACCACGTGCAATTTGTTTTCATCGTATTCTTCTAGTCGGTCTCGATACTCATGATAAACTTGCTAATGAGCAACTATTTCTCAAGAGTAACGGACGACGAGTTCTTCGATACGGCGGAAGGTTGGGGTCTCCTCGGTTTAAATTGGATGCAGATCTTAAGAACTTCGCAGTTTGATAGGAAAGGTTCGTTACCAGAGGTGTGGTAAACTCTTCTCTAGATTACTAATTAACCAACGAAATTTGTAGCTCAGACAGCTGTGGTGTTCTTCCTCGTGTACGCGATATCGTTCTTTCTGGCCAGTGCGTATCTCGCCTTAGGATCGATTTCAGTGAGTACACGTACTTACTACCATACGTGCATATGTATAAGTAGATGAGAAAGAGACAAAAGAATGGAAAACATCACGGTCGTGTACGGAATCGGCTAGACTTTGTTTGAAGAACGTATTTTCGGCACGTAGTAGCCTTGCTTTAAACTCGCTAACGATCTCGCTAACTTCCGCGTACGTTCACAGAGGAAACCTAAGTGCGCCGTGCCTTGGATGTATTTGCAAATGATTAGCATAATAGATCAGTCCGTGGCGCTGTCTATTCATCTGACGCACGGACTACAATACGATGTTTACGATAAATCAATATGGTACATTCCGACGTCCAGCGTCTATTTACGTAAGTACATTAGAATTTCTTATTCAGCTCTCTATATGTAGTGCGAGTCCGCAATCGATGATCATAAGTAGACTGCGCATCTTTTAGCGAAATAAAACATTTGTAAAAAATTAAATATAAATAGAAAAATCTATCGAGAAATCACACTGCTAATTTCGCTTTTGATCTTCTCCACATGTTTCGATATTACATACAGTCACGATGTTTCGATAAGCGCATCAAGTTCATAGTCTAATCGTAAGCGTTTCTTCTCGATACAGTATTGAGCGTTTACTTGTGGACGATCGTGCAAGCCACTCGAAAGGAATGGGCGACGGAGCAACAGTGTACAGATTTACCATTAACGGAAGTCATGTCACCGCAGGACAATGGTAACGGGCCGAAGTCGCCGTCCTTTCTCTCGCAGAACTTCTCGTTATTCGAGTCGCCCACGATTTTACCGAAGTAGCTAAAAGCGATATTACGCGCAAATTCCAAAGACAAACTGTGAACGTTTCGCGTCTATTTTCGTTCGTTTCGCCAGAAAAACGATCAAGGATCAAGGCAAGACTAATTGTCTAGATAATTTCTGCGTAAATGTTCAAGTACCTTTAATGTTAGCGAGTCTATTTATAGCTACAAGCGTTTTTAAAGCGTTAATCAAAATCGACGGTTGTTTCCAAGTTAGGCGCATACGAGTCTTGCATGGGTAGCTCGTTTTTTTGTTGCTTGTCCCGATGCCCAAGAGCAGCTCCGTTTCTAGGAAAGATTCGAATCTTAAGTCCGCATAATAACCATTGATCACTCGCCAGTAATGGAACCGCGGCGAACTACTAGAAATACGAATCCCGCAACGGGGAAAATGTATAATAACGCGAGTAACTCGATAAATCAGTCCGGGGATGCGACTAATAGAGTGTATCAAATGCGCCCGGCGGCGGACCGTGGCTGCATAGGAAATATGAGAAATGGTCGCGTTTTACGTCGAAATACTTTTAAACTTCCGGGGATTTGAATCGCGCGCAAGCATATTCCCTGTACGGAGACCGGCGTCTCCTCGATGGAGGTCGATTTGTCCGAAAATGGTCGGAACTTTTCACGAAACTCCCGAGAATAATGACCGCGCTGCACAATGCCCGATAGAAAACGCGATTTATCTCGGGCATTCCGAAATATCACGTGCCTCCACGCGATCGACTTTATATCCTTTTTGTATAAATGGAATTAGTTTAAGCCGAGAGAACGTCTCGCCGACCTACGGATAATTTTTGTCGATAACGAGATTTGTCGGAACGTACAAATTGACGCTCGCAAAAACTTCGGTAAGCTTCCCGTTGAACGATACGGCTGCGAGCACGGGGAGGCAGGCGGCGAGGTACGCGATGTGGTTGGTTGGTGGTGCTTTTAAAAAGAACTGAGCGAGCCAATTTGTAGGCTGTCGCAAACTTTTAAAACACTAGTTGACAGCCGTGTCCCGCCCCCGTCGCAGTTTCTGCACCCTCTCCGACGTTCGTCCAACCATCCAGAAGGATTCCAACGACTTTTTCCGTCTTTCTCCGTCGAACAGCGAAACCCACCCCCGTGTCGTGGAAGCCGATGGATTGTAAAATAAAACTAACTTGGCTCTTTCGTGGCTCGGGGACGGAGTACCAGCGAAATCTTATTCCCTCGGGACTCTTTTATTTTCGTGTACCCCTTTTTTTCTACACCAGCCAGCCAGGGCGCAATCGCGAGCAGGGTGGGTATCGGTGAGTCGTGTTCACTCAGGAGAAATGAGAAAGTTTTTATCCGAATTTAAAACCAATCGGATATTGTAGCCATCTGCGGCTGTTACGTTCTTAAGTCACTTCCTGTGTAAGTTTTACGACGTCTAATGTATTATCGATTCCCTCGAATAAACGGAATAAACTTATGAACTGATTCATCTTGGAAAATATCTTTTCACTGGACGGTGTTTACCATTTTTCTTGGGATACTTTTACGAATATCCGAGGCTCCGGGGAAGCGAAGTAAGTAAGTAAGGGGGCGGACGCACGTATGCCGCGCGTAAAACGTGCCGCGGCTGTAATTAATCTTCTTCTATGACACTTTGGCTGGTTACTGGGCTGAGCTTGCCAGGAGTCTGAACACAACATCCCACTTAAACCCGACGCCCAGAAAACAATTAATACGAAATTGATTAATAATTATTGCGTCCCAATTTCGCTTCCCCTTGTCGCACCCCAATCTTGCCAGTCACATAACCGTGAAAAAACGATTTTCCCACCGACAACGTCAAGCTGTTGAGCAATGCGAAACCTCATGGTTAATATTCGCATACAATTTCAGACAAATTGTTGTTTCATTTTAAATTGATTGCTTGTAAACCATATTTGTCTGCCTGGAATAAGAGAAAATCGGACATAAAAGCGTCGGTTCAACCCCTTTTGCGACATTTCTTCGTTGGCCGCCAAAAACGGACAGTCGATTTGGCATTACTTTTCCAGACAGACAGATTTTATTGATCTGTCGCTATTCGTTCTGAGCGAGCAGAGAAGACGCATGCGAGCCGAACGAAAGGGAGGAGGATAGAACAGCGGAACTGAACGCCCCATAAAGCTAACCAATGCTAATACTTCGCTATCTCCGCAGTGGCGTCCTTTTGCGAGCGCGTGCTTTCCGGATCGGTCGCACGGGTTGGAAAACTCGCGACGCCGCTGTCCTGGACCGGAATCGGCAATAAACGCGTAACCGAGCCTAATTCGTAATGTTGGCTCAGTCATTGTGTCCCATTGTGACTTCTCGTCCCCCGTTACTCGGGTGGGGACCACGAGTATAATGCTGGGGTTATCGCAGGAAACTGCCAGTAACGACCATAAGAGCTCTGTACTCTTCCGAATACGTTTACCCATCGATCCCTTCCTCAAATCAAAATTGAAACGATTATCTTCCCGATTTACAAATTCTTTAGGAGAAATAGTTAGAACTAAGAATAAGGAGTTTGTTTGCCAAGATTGAGTAGGAAACGTTGCACGAGTTTAGCATATGAATGAGAGGATACTTCAGTCGATGTATAATTTTTTTCTGCTCCACCCTCGCGGATATCTGAAAAGCGGACCGATGACCCTTCCTGGCAAGGGAGAAATCGCATTACTTTCGAATTTCTCCGGGGGTGGCACGTGTTTTTTTCTTTCGTAGAGACGCAGCGGGAAGCGCGTCTCTACGAAGGAAGTAAATTTGTGAACACGATGGACGAGCGGGCACAATGGTTGCGTTTAATAGTACATTAAACACGATACAGAGCGATCTATCCCCGCGACCACCGTGACAAATTTTCCTGGACAATACCGATGGACGAATGTATTAGTGGGCGAGGGATGGGCGGCACGCACGTGCGCGGAATTCATTGACCTTCGCGTCATCTAATGTGTAAATTCCATTTGCAACCCTTGATTTAGAGCAGGCTTCTTGCCACGTTGGAGAAGTGTAAATTTCTTCTAGTAGGCACAGCCAGCCATTACGGATCGCGCGATATTTCATTTCGTACCACGTACTGTACCGTCTGCGAGTAGCTAGATTACCGCGATCATTATCCTCTCGAAGAAAGAACTGGAAGCGAGTTTCTTTCGATCGAGCTTCCGGCGTTCCCAACGAGGTTTCGCGCACGTGTGCCCGGAGAAATCGAGCGATACCTCGTTACCACGTAATTGGCAATTGCTAATTCCCGGCAATTGACCGTAAGATGTAGCCTCGATACAACGTGCTCCCACGAGCTTCAAATAATTGAAACACTCGGTTCGCATTAAGCTGGATATCCACTTATATCGTATCATTCAATTGATAAGGTGCTGCGGTAACGATAGGAAGAAGATTTGACACTCAGCTTAAAAGTCTTTTCCTACATGAAATGTATCATTCGCATACGTTAAAAGGAGTGTCATATATGAAAAGCAGAGATCGATCTTTGTAGAGGCGATGGATCGACGATTACTTAGGGACAGAAGGAGGGTCCTGTTATCTAGTCGGTCGATTCAAAGTGGCGGAAGCAAGCGTGAGGGGTGGACGGGGGCGGAAGGAGCCGGTTTTTCGAGAATGGCTGCCGTAGGTGTCGAAGGGAAAGGACACGGGACTTGAACGAGGCCGCAATTAGGCGGTCCCGGGGTCGACGAGCAACGACGAGGTCGGGCATTATGCAAAGCAGATTTTAAATTTAGATGTGGCCCACCGTGCCCACGCTCCACGCTCACATACAACCAGAGAAAGAGAGAGAGTGAGACAGGCTCGTCGTCGCCACAGAAGGAACACGGTCGAAGACACGCGAGCCGGGTTCGGGCTGCGCGAAGCGTGGGTCGTGTCGTGCTCGACAAATTAGCGCGTTTTAAATCCAATCCGAGCCAAGAAGGGGAGGGAATCGTTATGGACGACGACGACAGAGCGGAGGGATACTCGACGAGCTGCTTTGCATTTCTGGCTTGCTCGCTCGCGTACGCGCGCGCGAGCCCAACATTTGAGGTGTAAAATATTAAATCCAGGCGCCTCCACCATATCGCCTACGTCCTCGAAAGAGAGGTGGAGGCGGCAGAGGTCGGATGGAAACGGAACGCGGACAGGGGAGCGAGGAAAAACGGGGTGTCTAGATGGAGGTGGATATGGCGAGGGCGGCTCTGCGGCGCGCACTCAGCGAGTTTACATTTAAATGTAAAAGTGCCGAGTGCTGCTGCTAGGCGAAAGCTGCTGTTTTGCATTCGAAAGCTCATGATTGCCTCTGAGCTTTGCTTTTGACGTCGAGCGTTTCTCGTTCGCCGACGGACGACGGGAGATCGTTCGCGATGCGTCAGCTATACCTCTGTCTCTCTCTCCCTCCCGCGCGCTTTTCGTTTCGGACAGATGGAACGAGCTTAGAGCTTCCGGAAAAATTGGCGCAAACGGAATCGGTGATTGTTTCGAACCGGTTCTGCTTTCCGAAGCGAGTGTGCCAATTAATCAACCATGCGTGGCCTCGCGAACAAAGCGAGCCGAGGTAATTGTCGCTAATTTATTACTTGATTAAACTCGTTAAATCGAAAATAATCGTTTTTATCGAAAGTATCTTAATGAATTGTTCGAATTATTTACATTAGTATGTATAACGCGAATTTTTGTTCTTCTGAAAAATATAATCGTCGTAGATTTTCGTTATGCGGAGCGTACGAGAGTACGAGCGCACCCACACGCATGTACGATTTATTTCCGGGGTCTAATCAATTCTTGGAACAGAACGGAACGGAACGGAATGGCAGACACACGGGATTACGAGCAAGCTAGCTCGCTGTTATTCTTCTAATATGTATGTTTCTTATGAGCATCGGTAAAAGGGCTCCGTGCAATTTCCTATGATAGATCGAGTCCCGCGGACAAGTTCCATTACGGCCAGCCTTTGAATTATTGAGCTGGCAATTCCCCGGCGACACGCGGGACACCCTGCATCAAAGTGTCAACGGGCTCATTAAGCCTCCAAATCAGGTAAACTAAAGCGTTACCCTTCAATTCCTCGATAAGTGAATTCCCTCTTTATTAAAAAGAGAAATACTCGATATCGATAGAAATATCATCTTGCAAATTTTCTGCTCGTGCATCCGAAAATTCGAGCCCAAGACCTGAGGGGCATAAAGTATTTAAAACTGGGGACGATCAAAGTGGAAAGGTACACCAATCGGGCATTGCTCACTTATTTTTCAACTATCTTCACGGTTTAGGGGGAACGAGCATTTGCATTCTAGCTGAAAGATCGGAAAACGGAAGATGTTAGATAAAGATTAGCCCTATCTGTAATCCCTTGAAATAGGACCTGTTACTGCAAACTGCGGTATCTGGGAACGCGATCACCGACACGGGGAGAGACAGAGATCGCTATCTGAAATCGCCCTTCTAGTCCATATGCTGGGTTAATAAGAGCCCTAATAACGAGTACCACCCCATCGATACGCGGCAGGGGCTGTCACTAAATATTTTTCTTCCTCAACGGTTGCTCTGGGAATTCGGCCGTGTCGATGCTCGTACAGATGTATCATTACTCTCACGAAAACGTCGTCCCTTCAATTTTCTTCCAGCTTGAATCGAATGAATGCGTCGGTGAGACGCTTTCAACAAATATTTAAGTATCTATTTCAATTGGTCGGAACCCGGTTCAGACGAGAACTTAGGCAAACATTTTTTTATTAATTCGTCGCCACTTGAAATGCAAATGGGCCAATCACGCGTCCGGAAGGTTGGAGCGACCGGGCGCTTACTCGAGTAATTTATTCGTAAGGGCGTTAAAGTTTCATAAGTCGTGCACATAAAATGCACTCGAGAGTGGAGAAGCAAAGGTGTATATAGCATCCAGCCATCCTTTTCTCTTTCTCTCTCTCTCTCTCTATCCTGACGCGGCAGAAAATTATGCAGATGGCGGAGAAAAGCTTTGATAAACACGACAGTCTCTGATCGTTATGCAGATCCGCGCCACTGTAAAATGGCGGCAATCTCTCCCTCTCACTCGACTATCCATCCCCTCTCTTCTCTCTTTTGCCTCTTCCGATCCTCCCTAGTCTCGCTGGACCCAGGGGTGTTTCAGCTTCTCACCCTCTTCCCCGTTCTGTTCCTCTTCCTCCTCCTCTTTCTCCACTTTTCACCCTCTCTCCTCCGGTCGCTCGCTCGCCCTTCTTTCTGTTCCGGCTCCTCCACCTCCGCTCGTTCCTGATTTTCACACCCCGGGCCGCGGTATTACCAGCCCAAGTTGAGGGTGGAAATACGCACCCCCTGCCTTGTTTCCGTGGCGCGTCTGCGCCGGCTTGTACCACCCGATTGTATATATGCACTGCGATTTCATTGGAAGATCGTACTGCCACTCGAAGACACAAGCGTCCCAGCTACGCTCGTACACATTCGCTCGCAGCAGCCAGCAGCGGAGACGAACTCCCGGCAGTC